CTTGACTCCACTTGACTCCATGTAACTCTGCTTGACTCCACTTGACTTCGCATGACTACACTTGACTTCGCGTGAGTCCATGTGACTCCAAGGGACTAGAGTCTGTCGTTTCCCTCTTGTACGAAGGTCGGTGAAAGTAAATTAGGGCTGGATAATCCGAATCTGTAGTGAATTCCTGAAAATTTCTGGCTAGAATTTTATCATCAGGGAAAGGCTTTTTAGAAAAATAATGATTGTTCGCTTGATTGAATCTAGGACTGTATGAAATGAAACGAGTTTGTAGTCTGGCACTCATTGGAAGACTAACATATTCAGATGTGTAAGCGTGAGTACAAGTGCGATAATGTCAGTGAGATCACATATCTATAAAGTTTTTTCAGGTCGGGATTTCAGTTCAATAAACATTTTCGATGTGCGGCTATCAGTTTGTCAAGGTTCATTCGGCTAATAGTTTATTGAATATTTCGCTGTTTCTTTCTTACTAGTTGGTGTAGCTAACAAGGATTGATCTATAAGAGGCACATTTTCTATGATATAAATGTGCAATCAATGATATTTTTAGATGGAATTGTGATTGATCTTAGCTGATAAGTTCCATCAGATCAGCTTAATTGTAAGATTCTCCATGTAGGTGTGTTGTTCGAAATGGATATGGATCAGAAAATAAATATCACACCTAAAAATGCACTCACGCTAAACGGCATTTAAAGTCTGACTAGTCTTCGCATTCACATCCAAAAGTGCTCCTAACACCAAAACTCAAGTTTAGGAGAGTTCGACATTATCGATATCTGAGACAAATCGTATTATATCTTTTCTGGCTGAGTATTCAATTATTCGCAGATTTTTTCAGCAAGAGTTTTGACTCATGAAATTTTATGACACTGTAAGTCGAAGAAGGTAATATTAACAGATACATCAAAAATGAGATCACATTTTTTTTGTACATGAAGAATAACCAACTATTGCTTAGCTGTATTCAAACAATCGAGCGACTAGCCGTGAGTGTTGGCCCAAAGGAATGCTCATGAACGACTAGTCGCTCATATTGAAACTATGCGGTGGATTCACTCGAAAAAAGATCTGTATAAAAGCTGGATTTTTTCAAGGGTAAGGTATGGGTGTGGGTATAGAGATAAGAAAACACAAGACACTCACCCACACCCAAACACGTATTCACACCCATACCCACGCTCATACCCACACCCTGGAGATCATCTGCTGTTTCCCAAAAACACAATGAATTTCTTTATCAAATTGAATCTCTTTTTTTCTTCTATTTACACCACATGATCAGTCAAATAGATGGTAAGTTATCTTGTATTAGGATAAGTATTTTTTTTCTTCTATTTAGATCATCTGATGATCTCAATAAATGGTAAGTTATGTTTCATCAAAATAAATATTTTGTTTTTATTCTATTTAGATCATCTAAGAATCACAATAAATGGTAACTGAAAAAACTGTAGAAGAATAAACCCTTTTAACCGTATGTGAAATTTTTCTAAACCCTTTAAAAAGGTTTAGGAAATGGTTTATAAAATCTGTAAATCGTTTAAGGGTTTATTATTCTACGTGGTTTTTTTTACAGTGTGCCTTACCATAAACAAAAGCTTGTACAACATCAAACAATACGACATTACTTTAGTGACTAAATGGTGTAAAATTTCTTCGATTATATATGTTCCACTCTTCGACTTTGAACTATCGAGGCAGAGATCGTATTCGTCTGTCCTTCCTCTGATCGCTTGACGCACTTTAAGACTAATTGTTTGATTTCCTGGCGAAAGGATTTGGATATAGCGGCGTACAGATAGAAAGTAGCACAATAGTTTAGATAAAACAAGACAACAAGCCCTAAAAAAAACATGAATGATTCGATCGCGATACGATCTGGACTCTTGTTGAGCACATTGTTTGTCAATATATTATAAAGCGAAGTGATTGGATATAAAGAAGTGAGGATAATGCCGATGACAGCTTCAGCTAAGACAAGCTTTATCATAGTAATATCACGTTTGGATAGAATGGTTCGTGGCGCGTTGTTAGTCTCCGGCAGAGGTTGCACACGAGCACGAACCGCTTTCAAATTCTTCAGAATGAGTAAACCGAAAACTATTGTGGAAATTGGTAAAATGAGTCCAAAAATAGTGATCAGATAAATACTGAAAAAGAACCCATACGTTCCAAAAACACCACATTGATTGTACCTGATCTCCTCAAGAATCGCTAGATGTAGTGAGATGAGCATACCAAAGAGAGTGGCTCCGCCAATCATTTTGAGTGCCACTTTTGGTTTGCTGATGGCACGTATGTTTGCTTGAATCGAAGTTAATGCAAAACGATCGACACATGCCAGTAAAATCATGGTTTTATAGAGAAGCGATGTAGATTGCAGAAAATAACCTCGAATGCGACAAAGAAAAATGGATATATTGAATGGATTTGGTGGTTGATATACAGCATACATATTGCTGCCGAGTCCCAAATTGACACCTATGATACTAAAGACGGCGGCTGCAAGCAAGTACAACGAACAGGACATTTGCCGATGGCGTTTTTGAGAAAAAATAGCAATGGAAAGCAGATTACCCAAGTTGCCCAATGCCAGAAAAATAGGAAATACATAGCGAGTCATACTTTCCTGTACAAATGCGAGAGAATCACCAAGAGAAGGCATAATGCAGAGTAATTTCACGTTTTAGTCTTTACGAGTCAGAGAAATAATCAGTGTGAAATGAGAAAATGAAATAGTCAAGTTCTTATATTCTTGCCGAGGGAAATGAGATGAGATAAAAGGAGAGAGAAATGAAGATCCCTGAACTAACGAGCTACCTGAGCTAATGAGCAAAAAACACCATTTAGTAACGTAAAACGCTTAACAGCGTTTCATATCATTAATCACGAGCAATTCGAAACTAAAAAAATTGGCGGAAGTGAATGGATAAAGAAATTGTCCAGCACGGTTTCAATATTGCGTCTAATGAATGTTGAGCATACATGAATGTGAAAGAAGTGAAAATAAGCTCATTATACTAAAAAAAAAAAAGGAAGTGGATTTTCATCATTGATCCACTAACCCGTCTTATTCTTCTTATTCTCATTACAAATAATAAAATGAGGCCGACAATTCGATGACATTTTATTGATCGCCTAAATTCAATTTGTTTCAGCCGAAAAGAAGAGGAAAAAATCCGGAAAACATGAATTTCGCAGTGGACTTTCGGCAATTGCCAGGAGTAGTGTTTTTGTTGGATTTTTTTCGTTAACAAAACTGAACTTTCCATAATTACTTAGTTATGTCATCAAATAAATTTTTGTCCTAACAAAACTGAAGTTTTTATAATTGCCAAGAGTTCAGTTTTGTTAACATTCAAGTTAAAGAAAGGGTTTATTATTATACGTATAATGATTAATTGTTCTTTGTTTTTATGAAAAGAGTTTATCGTGCCGAAATTTTAGGGAAGCGAATTAAAGATTTTTTTTTGTAATATACTACGTTATTGATGTATGGGTGTGGGTATTGGTTTTCACTTCTGTTTATCCACACCCACACCCACACCCACACCCACACCCACACCCACACCCACA